CTGTCTCTGAAGTGGTGGGATTAAAGTCATGCCCATTTAAATAAATAAATCTTAAAAAAAAAAAAAAACAGTCCTTTTGGGACTGAGGATGTATGTAGCTCAGTTGGTAGAGTGCTCATCTAGCAGGCCCAAGGCCCAGGCTAGTATCAAACACCAGTAAGTAACCCCAGTGCTCACAGGTGGAGACAGAAGGATCAAAAACTCAAGGTCATCCTGGGCTACATAGTGAGTTCAAAGCCAGCCTAGGGAACTTGAAACAATCTCAAAACATAAACAGGACTGGGGATACGGAGATAGAGTTTCAGGAGTTCAACACCAGCCTGAAGTACATTACACTGCCTTAAAAAAAAATCTATTCCTAGCCGGGCGTGGTGGCACACAACTTTAATCCCAGCACTTGGGAAGCAGAGGCAGTTCAAGGGAATTCAAGGCCAGCCTGGTCTACATAGTGAGTTCTAGGCCAGCGGGGGCTACAGGGAGACCCTGTCTCAAAAAGACAAAAAAAAAAAAAAAAATTATTCCTTTCATAATTTGCTGATTTTGGTAGCTGATTTTTTCTTTCTCTCAGGCTTTTTCTCTCTGTTTTTTAGATCAATGTACAACACGCTATTTTTTTTTAATTTAACATAATCTCTCTGTGTAGTGCAGGGTGGCTTGGAACTGCAGAGCCTCCTGCCCTAGCCTTGGAATGTCGTAATTACACTCACATTGATATTTTAAGGAAATTAAATTAGTCCTAACACTAAAGAATATTGACTACAATCAGAAAGTGTAATCACCACTTAATTGTATCCCACAGATCTTGTCGTCATACCAAGTCAACCAGATACACACTGCGCCCACAATCCAGAGCAATCCAAAAGGAACCCTGGTGAAGACGAAGCAAAGCAAGAACTGAAATGGAGGGAAGGAGGAGTCAAGGAAAAGGAGAAGAAGCGAGAGGAAAAAAAGCAAGATGCGACAACGTGTCCCAGGAAGATGTCCGTCAGCAGATCCCTCATGGACACTCTGTGGGCGAAGTTTAAATCAAGACAATGCCCCACCGTGCAAGATTGCCTTTCACTCTCCTTTGAATTCAGCATCACAGATAAACAGGTAGGACAGCCTGTCTCTTCACTGACAAAGTCAATTGTGGACAGCTGAGTTTAAAAATAAAGTGCCAGCTGGGCGTGGTGGCTCACACCTTTAATCCCAGCACTTGGGAGGCAGAGGCAGGCGACCTCTGTGAGTTCAAGGCCAGCCTGGTCTACATAGTGAGTTCCAGGACAGCTGGGGCTACAGGGAGACCCTGTCTCAAAAAGACAAAAAAAAAAAAAAAAAAAGCCCAGCCCCCCACCCACCTCATTTATTGAGACTCAATTGGATAATGATTGGAACCCAAGGGTGCTGACTTAATCAGTGTATTAATCCTCTGATGCCTTAATAATATGGGAATTAATTGGGACCTGATGGTGGCGCCTTTAATCTTAGTACTCCAGAGGCAGAGGCAGGAGGATCTCTGTGAGGTCAAGGCCAGCCTGGTGTACATAGTAAGTTTCGTACCAGCCCAGTTAGGGCTGCATAGTGAGACCCTGTCTCAAAGGGGAAGAAAAAAAAATGTTTTTCTCAAATATTTTGGTTACAGAAACATAAATAACTAATACAGAAACCACAATCCTTATTTCTCTGTTAATCGTCTCATTTACCTCACTTTTTGCAGATAAGGCAATGGTTTTGTAAAAAGAGGAAGAAATACAAGAAAGAAATGTCCAAGCAGAAACAGGGAAGAAAACGGAAGAAAGCCAAGTGCGGTGCCGCACACCTATGATGTCAACACCAAGGCCAGCCTGGTCTACATATTGAGTTCCAGGCTGGCTAGGGCTAAAGGACAAGACCCTATCACCACGCATACAAAAAGAAAGAAGGAAAGAAAGACAGTCAAAGGAAGGAAGGAAGGACAAGATAGATTGGAGGGAAAGAGAGATTCAGTAGACTGCCTGCCTAGCATGTGCAAGTTCTGGGTTCAGGTCCCACCACTGAAACTATATACACCCCTCTCTGGTGCGACAAGAGGTTTCCTGTCCTACCACGTACCATGTGACCCATACCTACCCAGCAAAAAGCATGTACTGAATTTGCCATAGGGAAAGATCTTCCCAGTCAAGATGATAAGCTGAACCCCAGCTGTCTTTCAAAAAGAACAGCAGGCACCAGGTAGGTCTATTCTTTGAGCACCTGGGACTGCCTTTCCCAATACTCATTTCTCTAAGGCCTAAGTGAGGAAACTGAACTGCTGGGAAATAATGTCCTTTCATCCGCTAGGAGCAGGTCCTAAATGGCCCAGTCTGACTTTTATTCTCCTGTCTCAAATTCAAAAGCTATTTGCTCTCAGTTGCAGCTTGGAGAATATTCTGGATTTGTGTTTCATATAGTGTTTATGTGCTCATGGTTCTCTATTAAAATTCCAGGCGGATAACATGGGTGAAGTTCTATATTTCCTACCTCAATAACATCCCCTCATTTCACTTTACGGAGTGGGGAAGAGGCTGGAGTCTGAACTCTGGGATTCCACAGGAAGCTTTCTACCTGGTCCACCTCTTTGACATTTTAAACTATGTTTTAGATGTTAGCTGTGGTGGTGCCCGCCTCTAGTTCTAGCACTCAAGAGGCAGAGGCAGAAGAGTTGCAACAAGCATGAGGCTAGCCTGTGGAGGTCCTACCTCAAAAAAAAAAAAAAAAAAAAAATGTGTTTTAGGAAGATCCTTTTCTTCTATCTTACAGATTCAATGCATCTTTTTCTAATTGTTCAAAAATTTCATATTTTTATGAATACGAATGTTTTACATGTATGTAAGTGAACCACATGCATGCAGTGCCTACAGAGACCAGAAGAGAGTGCCAGATCCCTTGGAACCAGAGTTAGCCTCCATGTAGGTGCAGGGAACCCAATCTGAGTTCCTTGGAAGAGCAGCCAGTGCTCTTAACCCTTGAGCCATCTCTCCGGCCCCTTTTTTGAGACAGGGTCTCATGTAGCCCAGGCTGGTCTTAAACTCCTGATCTTTCTGCTACCAGTTCCAAATGTTGGACTATAAGGGCATACCAGTAGGCCTGGAAGATTTAGTATATCTTGATGTTTATCTGAGGAAGAAAATTTTAATTAATTGAGGAAGAAAACATCTCTCACTTGCCTAATGAAACAGCCCCTCTGTTTAAGAAACAGCTGTTTTGGGGCTGGAGAGGTGGCTCAGCAGTTAAGAATACTGGTTGTTCTTGCAGAAGACCCAGGTTCGAATCCCAGCACCCACATGGCAGCTAACAACTGTAACTCCAGTTCCAGGGGATCCGACAGTCTCTTCTGTCCTCTGAGGGCATTGTACAACACAAGTGCACTTACATACATGCAGGCAATATACGCATACACATAAACTAAAAATAATAAAGTATTTTTAAAAAGCAGCTGTTTATCGACCCTTTGTTTCTACATCTGTAAATACGCTTCCTGTTTGGAATTCCAGCTCATGGTCTCCTGACAGGCAGGTTAGAGACCCTTATGCCTGGTCTGCAGTCACATAGACAGGAATTCAAGCCCACCGATAATGATGGAATGTCTATAAATACTGTGAAAAACTGCCTGTAGTCAGGCTTTGGAGAAGACTCTCCTGGGTCCCTGCCAGGGGGAATTAAAGCTGTGATCTTCCACTCTATCTCTGGCACCCAGTTTATTTTTATTTGTATTTATTTCTTTATGGTCTTTTAGAGACAGGGTCTCCCTATAGCCCTCGCTGGCCTAGAACTTGATATGTAGACCAAGCTGGCCTCAGTCTTACAGAGATCTGCCTGCCTCTGCCTCTGCCTCTACAGGGGCTGTAGGTGTGCACCACCACACCTGACAATATAATCATAGGTACCAAGCACAGTGGTGTACAGCTTTAATACTAGCAGTCAGGAGCCAGAGGCAGGTGGATCTCTGTGAGATCAAGGATATCCTTCCTGTTCTATATAGTGAGCTCCAGGCCAGCCATGGCTACATAGTAAGACCTTGTCTCAAAAAATAAAATAAAGGACTGGAGAGATGGCTCGGCAGTTAAGAGCAACTGTCTGCTCTTTTAGAGGCCCCAGGTTTGTTCCCAGCACCCCCATAGTGGCCAACAGCTATCCTTAACTCCAGTTCCAGGGGATACAATGCCCTCTTCTGATGTCTAAGAGCATTGCACTGCATATCCATGATATACTTACGTATATGCAAGCCAAACACTCATACACATAAAATTAATTAAAAACAATTTATTCGTTGGAGGGTATACTTATGTCATCCCTATGGGGGTTAGAGGACCATCTGGGTCCTAGGGATCAAATTCAGATTCTTGGGGCTGGTAGGGGAGCAAGTACCTGCAGGGCCATTGTACCAGCCCTAACTCCACTAGACATGAATGTATTCCTTGCATGTAAGTGCACCCATGTTGTACAATGCCCTAGGAGGTCAGAAGAGGGCTTTGGATCCCGTGGAACTGGAGTTAGGGATGGTTGTTAGCCTCCATGTGGTTGCTGGGAATCAAAGCCAGGTCCCCTGCAAGAGCAGCCAGTGCTCTTAAACAGAGTCGTCTCTCCAGCTCCCTTGTACCTCTTCAAACCTTGGTACAATAGCTAAAATACTACAGTGTTCTGAAAGTTTTGCAGTGCTGATGGTCATCAATAGGGCCTATGACATACTTAGCAAGAGCTCTACCACTGAGCTACAGCCCCTATGTCTATTTAGATGCAATGCTATTAGAGCCAGTAGCTTCTATTTTATCCTGTACCAGCTCATTAGATCCACAGCTAAGGTCCATCTAAAAGAAGGGGTGGGTTTTGGGGGGTTTTTTGCTTTTTTTTGAAAGGTCTCATTGTAGCCCATCTGTAACTCCAATTCCAGGGGATCCGATGATACCCCCTTCTGGCCTCTGCAGGCATTGTATGTATATGTATGTGGTGTACTTAATATAGATGCAGGCAAAACACTGATACACATAAAAATAATAAACCCCATATGGATACCAGGAGATCACTGTCCCTGGGCTCTGTCCTAGTGGTATAAAGGAGCACAGTGCTCTGTCCCATGATGTACAGTCCCTTTCCAGAATGTTGGGGATGAAGCTGGGAGTCTGCACCTGCGTGTTCTTACAACTCAAAGTCTTGTGGACAATGACTGAGGAGACAAACCATCCAGGAAACAGTCCTAGATCATTCAATCTGGGAGTAAATCTACCTGTTTTAAGGAGAAATTGCTTTAGTCTGTTTTACTTACTGATGAAGAAATAAAATAATATTTTTAAAAAGAATCTATGTTAATCCCTGAACAATGTTAGTCAACCACAGGCACTGAGTGAAGTCAGGCATTCCTGGAGCCACAGTCCAAAGCACTGTTAAAGCCTGGTGTGGTGGTGCATGCCTTTAGTCCCACTGCTTGTTGAAGGGAGAGGCTGGTGGAGCTCTGTGAGAAGGAAGCTAGCCTGATCAACATAGTGAGTTTCATGGACCTGTGGCTACAGCATGAACCAGGTGGTTGTTGCCTCAGTGAGCAATATCTGAATTTAGTCTCCAACTAAACTTTATGGAAGATCGACTCATAGAGACTACAAAGCTGATGGTGTCTTAATTAACTCATCCTCTGAATGAGTACATGTTGTTTTGAGGATATTCAATAACTTGTTTGCTATAAAAACAAACGAGTTTTTTGAGTGTTACCACTCTTCTGTAGGATATTTGAGCAGCTTAACAGTTTTTCTGTAAAAACCAACCATTGCTCTATTTTTTTTTATGACATTTGGTATTTTGAATAAACCACACAAAATTCCCCAACATTTTGGAGCTTGATGCCCTTCCCAGTGTAAAGTACCATCATTTTTCCACATGGACATGGACTCTGGTAAAGCAAATATTAACCTTGACCTCCAGATGCTTTTACCCTTACCACTCAAATGCTCAAGATTGCAAAGCTGCACCTCCATACCTAGTTAGAAATTTTTTTTTTTCTTTTTTTGTCTTTTTGAGACAGGGTTTCCCTGTAGCACCAGCTGACTTGGAACTCACTAAGCAGACCAGGCTGGCTTCAAACTCACAGAGATCCATCTGCCTCTGCCTGGAGTGCTGGGATTCAAGGCCTACACCACCACGCCCGGCTCAGAAATTCTTAAAAGACAGATTCCTTGGCCCCATTCTCAGACATTCTGATTTAACTGGTCTGGGGTATAAAGCCTCTCCCGAGATAATTTGCATTTCTAACAAGCGCTCAGGTGACCCCTAAAGTGCTCAAAGGAGACTATACTTTGAGCAGCATTCCACTAGGTTGTGGTAAGAGAATTGAACTTCAAAGAGCTGTTTTAGCCCCAAATGTAAAAACACTAACTAAAGCTAAAATGGGGAATGGGCAGTGCTGCGGGAAGGGTTAGGCTTCAAGGGCTGAGGGAGTATAGAAAACGGCACCCAATTCACTGTGAGAGGTGGCCTGCAGAAGGTGAAACCTGGGCTGGTTGTGGTGGCGCATTATGGAAGGATCTGTAGTTCAGGCCAGACTGGGCTACATAGCCAGTTCAAGGCCAACCTGGGCTACAAGAGACCCTGTATATTAAAAAAAAAAAAAAAAAAATCAGGGGTGGAGCTGGAGAGATGGCTCATCGGTTAAGAGCACTGACTGTTCTTGCAGAGGACTAGGTTTGATTCCCAGTCCCCAAGTGGTGGTTAACAATCATCAGTAGCTCCAGTTCCAGCGGATCTGATGCCTTCTTCTGACCTCCACAGGCATTGCAGGATACAGATGCACTTACACACATGTAGGCAATACATATACTCATACACATAAAAACAACAATTTGTGTGTGTGTGTGTGTGTGTGTGTGTGTGTGTCTTTTTTTCTTTGGAGATAGGGTGTTCCTGTAGCTCCAGCTGGCCTGGAACTCACTATGTAGACCAGGCTGGGCTGGAATTTACAGAGATCCACCTGCCTCTGCCTCCTGAGTGCTGAGATTAAAGTGTGTGCCACCACACCCAGCTAATAAAATATTTTTTTAAAAAAATCAGGGGTAGGGGAAGATGAACTCCAACCTCTGTCTCCACACTGAAAATAAGTCAAGGGAGGGTTCAAGAAAAAGGCATTCAGGACATTTTGCTTTGTAAACTGATTTTCCAAAGCTTGAAATTGTGTTGAAACCCTCAGAAGGGTTGGGGTTGTAGCTCAGAGGTAGTACACTCAGGGGTCTGCAACCCCCAGAACCACAAAGAAAAAAGAGAAGGCGACTGTCCTTGTGGCTTACACCTATAATCGCCACACTTTGGAGGGAGACAGAACTGCTCATAAATTCCAGACCAGCCAGGGCTAAGATCTCAAAAAAAGAAGAGAAAAAGAAAATGGGATGGGGATGTAGTTCAGTTGGTACAGTGCTTGTTTAGCATGCCTAAGGTCTTGGGTTCAATCCCCAGTGCCACACACACTGGATATGGTGCTAGAGAAACTCTATAACATAACGAGTATCTGTAACTCCAGTTCTAGGAGATCCGACTCCGTCTTCTGGCCTCTGCAGCCACGTCACACATAGGTGAACTTATGTACATACAGACCAAACACTCACAAGCATAATATGAAAAAAAAAAATGAGGTGTATTTTAAAAAGGTGTAATTCAAAAGGTACAAAGGCAATATTAAAAACAAGCAAAGAAATCCTTGCACCAGGCTTGGGCTACATAGTAAGAGTCTGTCTCAAAACAAAGGACAGATAGGCATGATGGATAGAGTAGGCTCACAGGAGGCAGAGGCAGGAGGATTACCGTGAATTTGGAGCCCAACCTTGGTTGCATAGGGAGACTTTGCCTCAAGAAACTAAAACAAACAACAAAAAAAACACCCCTACGAACTGGCATGTTGTGGTAAAGTCTTTGATGAGGTAAGATTAGCCATGATTAAATGACTTAGACTCTGTGACAAACACATATGTGAAAGCTTGTATGTTCCGATACAGAAATTTTAATTTTTTTCACAATATAAACAGGCCCTTTGTTGTTGGACTTGAACTGATCCTTCTGCCTTCAATTCCCAAATACGAGGATAACAGGTGTATGTTACCATGCTTGGCTGCAATTTAATAGTTATATGACACCTCATAGATGTATATACAAATTTTTAGTGCTAAAAAAAAAAAAAAGAAAGAAAAAAGCTAGGCAATCAACCAGCCACACATAAACCAAGCTGAGGGGAATCTTTTTTTTTTTTTTTGTCTTTTTGAGACAGGGTCTCCCTGTAGCCCCAGCTGTCCTGGAACTCACTATGTAGACCAGGCTGGCCTTGAACTCACAGAAATCCACTTGCCTCTGCCTCCCAAGTGCTGGGACCAAAGGTGTGTGTACACCTATAATCTTAGTACTTAGAAGGTGACGGCAGGAGGATCAGTTCAAGGCTAGCTTTGGCTACATAAAGACTGAAGACTGTCTCAAAAAAAAGGACTGTGTGTCAGTCAAAAAGTATTTAAGGGCCTGGAGAGATGTTTGAGCAGTTAAGAGCACTGGCTGCTCTAGAGGACACAGGTTGGAGTCCTAGTACCCACTTGGCAACTAGCAACCACCCATAACTCCAGTTCTGGGGATCCAATGCCCTCTTCTGTCTTCCATAGGCATTGCATGATATGGGTACACTTACATACATGCAGGCATTACACGCATGCACATAAAAGTAATAATTTTTTTTTAATTTTTGAAATTTTTATCTTATGTGCATGCATGTATTGCTTGCATATATGTAAGTGCACCTGTATCGTGCAATGCCTGTGAAGGACTGAAGAGGTTGTTGGATGCCCTGGAACTAGAGTTAGAGACAGTTGTTAGCTGCCATGTGGATGCTGGGATTCGAACCTGGGTCTTCCGCAAGAACAGCCAGTGTTTTTAACCACTGAGCCATCTCTCCAGTTCCCCCCCTCCATTTTTTTTTAAAAAAAAGGAAATAAGTATTTAAGTAAGTCGGGTGTGGTGGCCCACACCTTAGATCCCAGCACTTGGGAGGCAGCAACGGACAGAACTCTGTAAATTCAAGGTCAGCCAGGTTTATAGGGAGGGTTCCAGGCTACCATGGGCTACGGTAGTAGGAGCCTGTCTCAAGGAAGAAAAGAATTTAGCGTGGGTAGTTGCTTACAGATCTTCACTGCTGAGCTTGCCTGCTTCTCTACATTCTAGCTCAAAAAGTATAATTTTTCCTTTTTACTAAAAGCCTCAGCAAGCTTTCATCCCTCTCCTCCCAGCAGCTGCCAAAATTTACAGCTTGCTTGCCTGGTTGTTTTTGTCTTTCAAACAAATAAAATGGTCCTCCAGCTTTAAAAAAAAACAAACAAGTATTTAAATGTAAAAAAGTGGCTTTTACATTGCCTTTGCATACAAAGCTGTGGTTCTCTCTGCCTATTCAGTCTTGGTCAGCCAAAGATAAGTATCTACCTTTCGGCTGGTTTAGTCTAGAACAATAGCTCTCCAGAAACAGCACACAAAACCAGCCTGCTTTTTTCTCCCCCTTTATCACTGAGCACTGAATTAAGATGCCTCCTCATGCAAACTGAGGGGTCTCCTAAGGAAAACTTTTTTCGATGTTTGTTTTGTTGAAACAGGGTCTCACCATGTTTCCTGTCTTGTTTTGAACTTGATCCTCCTTCCTCAGCCTCCCAAGGGCTGAGACTACAGGTGTGAGTGCCACATTCCATTTCAAGAAAAACTTTCAAAGTACGAATTCCTGTTGACTGGCACTAGGTTGGTAGTGCTTGTGACACAGCAAATTTCTCTCTCTAACATAGAAGCTGCTGGTGATGCTGATGTGTGGAAGATACTTTGCTGGGGTTAAAGATTCACCAGGCCAAAAAAAAAACTGACTTCACTGAACCTTTAGACTAGTGACAAGAAAGATGGATGGATGAATGGATGGATGGATGGATGGATGGGTGGGTGGATGGACAGATAGATTCCCCAGATAATAGGTAGAAGATAAACAGATGCTAGTAAGATATAATTGAGCAGATATGATCCAGCACATGTGCAATCTCAGCATTTAAGAGGGTGAGGCAACAGAATCATGAGTTCCAGGTTATCCTGAACTACATAGAAAGACCCTGCCCTAAAACCAAAACTGAACAGTGAAAAAAAAGAGGTGAACGGGTGTGGTGGCACACTCCTTTAATCCCAGCACTCGGGAGGCAGAGTTCAAGGCCAGCC